GATTTGAATTTGGAGCCTCGTTCCCCAGCGCGGAACTTCGAGCGAGGAGTTAGCGTTCGAATTCGCTCCAGCGCCTCGACGCCATTGGCTGGTTCGCGGACGGCGGCGAGACGCGATTGGCCTGTCGCCTCGCCCCGCCCCGTGCCCTGGTTGGCCGGAGACAGCGCGGAGGGAGTTAAAGAGTCGGCGCCTGGTGCTGGGCTCTGCAGGGCATGCTGCAACTTCCTCATCCACCGCGGGTGTAGGCAAGTCCTCCGTGGAGGGTCAGACCCGAACCCCTGTCTGGAGCTGGACACCTCTGGGTTCCTGTCTCCAGCCGTGCCTGCGCGCTCGCCCAGAGGTGAAGAAGGGGAGCAGGGACAGGGGCACCTGGAACCTGAATGGTCGCTGGAAGTGACGTCTCTGATCTTTCCCGAGGCAGCCGGCTCAACTTTGATCTGCCAGAAGTAAATTCTTTTTTTCCTTTCTTTTTCCCCTGGCTGTAACCCTCTTGAGAAGGAATGCATTGTGGAATTTGTGTGCTGGAGGAGTGGAGATCTTCGGGGAAACTAATTAAAGCCCCACCTGGACTCTGTCAATCACCCTGCTGTAGTGAGGACTAAAGTGCCTGGAGGAATAATTGCAGTTCTGTCTAGAATTTCCGGGGTGTCCGGAGATGTTCATGCTCCTTAATCTTGAGATTACTTGTCTCTCTCACTGGGCTAGAACTTAGAGTTGACCCCTGTGTATTTAAGCGCCCTGCTTGTTTGTGTTCCTGCCTTTGAAAAATGTTAGCACCAATGCCTTACCATTCCAGCTTCCCAAGTGAGTCCCAAGGGTTTCATATCATCTGTGGAAACGTACAGGATGCTCTCCTGTAAACTCCAACTCCAAAAGGATTAGGTTTGGAGTGAACTCTTTGTGAAATGTTAGGTATATTTTGTAAGGATTAATACCTGTGATACTTATTAGCTTTAATATGTATATTTCTGTTTTCTTTTTTAGTTTGCTTCCTGGGCTATGGGAGATGTCAGCGAGTTAAAAATGCAAATAACACCGGAAACTCCAGGAAGGATCCCTGTTTTAAATCCCTTTGAAAGTCCTAGTGATTATTCTGACCTCCATAAACAAACCCTTGCAAGTCCTTCTGTCTTTAAAGCCACAAAACTACCAGTAAGTAACTCTGGGCTGATGTTTACAAGAGGTTTTAAATGGAAGTAATTGCAAATGATTTTAAGTGTACACATCTTACAGAAGAAGTTATGCCACCTAATATTCTCATGGTTCTTTCAGAAAACACGATATGAATGCTCTCAGGCATCAGACACAGTGGACCAGTTAGGGTCTCTTGGTACAAACTCTCCCACACCAACACAGAAACAATTCACTTTTAGTCAGGAACCAGACAGGCTTTGCTAGTCAGCTGGTCCCAACTGCACCACTCATATGTCCCTCAGATCAAAAGAAGCAACCAGGGACAGTGCGGAGACACATATGGCCATGTTCTCATAGGGAATTATGGGCACCGAAATTTGAATTTCATGTTACTTTTCTGCCACGAAATCTTGAGACTTATGTTTCCTTTTCCCCAGACATTTAAAAACTCCAAGCCCTATTAAAGCTTGCAGGTTGTTAGAAACAGGAGCCGGCTCCTGTGCTGTTGGAATAAATTCAACAAAATGGGCAATTTCAAAATAGCGAAATACGTGCTGCGATTAATAGTTATCAGAAGGGTGGTACAAAGTGACCTTTGCTCTTTAGGTTATTAGAAAAAGCCTCATCTCTTTAGCTGTTTTTACCCTTACTTGCTAAAGTGGCAACATTCTTTTGATTCGTTCACATAGAAAAACTGCAAAACTAGATGTGGTGGCTACTTTTATGTCAGCTTGACATACCCTCGAGTCTCAGACTCAGTTGAGGAAATGCCTCCATAGGACTGGGCACCAGTCATACCTGTTGGACATTTTTTTAATTAGCATTTGATGTGGGAGGGCCCAGTCCATTGTGGGTGGTCCCATTCCTGGGCTGGTGGTTCTGGGTTCAGCCGACTGAGCAAACTGGTAAACAGCAGCCCTCCTCCCGGCCTCTGCCCTGTTTGAGTTCCTGTCCTGACTTCATTTGATAGTGAATAGTGATGTGGAAGGATCAGCTTGCCTCCCCAACTTGTTTTTGGTCAAGGTGTCTCATCATGGCAGTAGTAACCCTAATAGACACCAGGTGACTGTTTTTGCTCATTTTTATATCAGCATGGACCCTGAGAAGGTGTGCAGGAGCCGTATACAGTTTCTGTGATAGCATATCACTGATTTGGCCTCCCAGTATCAATTGATTCACGATGAAGATTTTGCATCTTTTAGTAAATAGTGGAGGCTGAGAAGATAGCTCAGCTGGTGGCATGCTTGTCATGTGCCCTGCAAGCAGAAGGACGTGCGCTGGATCCCTAGAGCCTATGTACAAAAGCCACTGGTGATGAGTGTTTACAGTCCCGCTGGAGGGGCAGTTGATACAGGCAGGTCCTTGAGTCCTACTGCTTAACCAGCCTAGATAAATATACCAAGGTCAGTGACAGACCCTGTCTCAGGTAACAAGAGGGATAATGCCCCTGCTTGGCCTCCAGCCTCCTGTGTGTGTGTACATGTGCAGTGACACATGTACCCACACAAGCATGGATGTGGATATGCACACAATAGTAAAATGCAATAGTTTCAATGCAATTTCATGTTTGTTTTTTGTTATTTGGGTTTTACATTATAGCTATCTACATTTTTGAAGGTAACACTGGGTAGCATTTTGATGAACTATTTTCATTTGATTTCATATATATATATGTTTACTTTTTTTCATTAGACTCCAGGGAAATTTAGGTGGTCTATTGATCAGCTGGCAATAATGAATCCTGTAGAAATAGACCCAGAGGAGATTCATCGTCAGGCCTCCTACCTAAGTCATTCTCGGTAAGCTTTCCTTTCTTGTACTTAAGTATTAATAACAGACGGTTAATTAAAGAGAAATAAGAACTTCTAAAACTGATTATATGTGTAAGTTTGTCAAGAAAGAAGAGATTTAACATGGATATTTTTCCTTTCCAAGTGACTTTAAAATATTTTGTCTAGAAATATACCCTGACTTAAAATTCCAATCTATATAGGAACCCTTTTCTTGTACAGCTAGCACACTAGCACACATACATGTGCAAGCACACATACATGCCTACACACATACACTTCCCCTCCATCCCTCCACCGCCACTACTCTAAACATTTCAGCCTCCCTGGCTCCTGGTTAGATGGAAAAGCACTTTAACATTATACATTTCTCTATAGTTACGGTTTCTGATATATTTGGTTAGTGTCCCAAGATAACAAAAAGATTCTGTCCAGTGGCTGCCTATCTGGCGAAGTCTAGAATTCCCTAACAAGTTAAGACTTACCTAATGCAGTAACATTTATTGACCACAGAGAGCCTTACAGGCATCACAGAATTTGAACACAGTTCATCAATGAATCTCACACGTCTGCATGTGAGTGCGCATGTCATGGTGTGGGAGTGATCTCGTGTTCCACCTTGGAGTCCAGGGGTCAATTTCAGGTAGTGAGGTATGCCATGACAAGCGCTTTCCCCCACAGAGCCGTCTGTGACCCTGCACGCTGTCTCCTGTACAGTCTGATTGTCCCTTTCATAGTTTGCAAACCCTGTTTTGTCTGTGCTGTCCAGTGATCTTCAAAAGTGATCTTCAAGAAAATGCACTTAGCTAGTGGACCAGAGCTGGTTTTTAACTGTCAGATGGCTGTGCAGTATTACTTATAGTTTAAAGAGCCTTTGTTTTTTAGTCCAATCTCTTTGTATTTTTCTTTTATTACAAATAGATTTTTTTTTTCCCCTCACATAATCTATCCTGACTGTTTTTCCCTCCTTCTGCTCCTCCCGGTTCCTTCCCACCCTGCGTCCCCTCTGGATCCCACTCCCTTTCCATTCTCATTAGAAAACAGGCTTCTAAGGGATGAAGCATAATAAAACATAGTAAGGTGAAGGAAAACCTAACACACAGGTGTTAGACCAGACACACAGAAGGAAAAGAACACAGGAAAAGGCACAGGAATCAGAGGCCCATTCTTTCACACGCTCAGGAATCTCTGATGTGGGATGTCCTTCAGTATATACGTAGTATTTATTGGTTGATGAATAAAGCTGTTTCTGCCAATGGCTAACAGAATAAAGCTGGGCTGGAAGTCCAAACAAAGATACAGAGAGAGAGAGTAGACTGTCTGAAACACACACAGGAGATTGTGCAGGAAAAGCATGTGTGTGGGGGAGGACTAGGTAATGGCCAGGGCTGCTGAAAGACAGAGCCAGCCCATCTAGAGTGGGTAAGTCCTGTGGCATTTGGAGCCCAGGTGCTTCTGGAGTTTGAGTGGCAGCTGGAGACTGTTTCAGAGAGGCTACAATAGGAAAATCCCAAAGTCGTGCAGAGACTTTGGGGGAAAAGGAAAGAAAGTCTAGCTGGGCTGGGCAGGAGTCCTGTGTGCAACTCTAGCATGTGCTGTTGGCTACAAAGTCACAGGCAAGTAGCTTTTTCATGAATTCCTGCCCCACACTGGATGCCAACCATGGCTGGAAGTTTTCTCTGTCCTGCCGATATCCACCCCGCCACACACCCCACCGCCATTTTTTCTCTGCCCACCTGTTCCTGAAGCTGCTTATGAAATAGCCATTTTGAGGCTTATTATCAGTTCCAATTGTCTGACCAATGTCTTAGGCTTCTTACTGACTAGCTTTCACTATAAATCAACCCATTTCTATAGGTTATATTTTACCATGAAGCTCGTGACTTGTTATCTCACATCTTACTTCTTGGGTGGCTACGTGGTGTCTCCTCAACTCTGGCTACTCTCTCTCTGTCTTTGTTTGGACTTCCGCCTAGCTTTACTCTGCTAAGCCATTGGTCAGAACAGCTTCCTCAACCAATTAAAGCAACACATATACTGGAGGACATCCCACACCAAATACCATAAAAATGCTCAACTGGAAGCCATAATATAAACTTAGAGGAACTAGTGCAGACCCATGCAGGCCCTGTGCACGCTGGTTCAGTCCCTGTGGTTCATACAAGCTTTGTTCCTATTGATTTAGAGGGCCTTCCTTGTTTTCTTGGTGTCCTTAACACACTTATTGTCTCCTCTTCTGCAGGAGCTGTAGAGTGACAGAGACATGCCATTTAGGTCTGAGTGCCAAGGTCTCTCATTCTCTACATAAAGTTTGGCTGTGGGCTCTATTTTTTTCTCATCTACTTCAGAAAGAAACTTCTCTGATGATGGCTCAACAAGGCTTATAGTCTGATTTGTTTAACATTGGAAAAAGAATCAAATACATGGCTTATACAATGTTTAATTTTCTGCCGTAAGATAGCTGTGTTGTTAGTCCAAAAGCAATGGGATCTTTTCCCCTTTGACTTTAGAACTCATTCACAGAAATACACATGTTGAGATCTTCATCCAAATATTGCTACTCTTTTTCTCTCTGCTTGGTATTCTAATGACAATTTACTCATAATTAGTTCCCACCTGATTCTTCAACAACTGGAAGGGAATAGACTGAAAACAAAGCATACAGGATTTTTATTTTAATTCTGTAGAAAAGATTTAAAAAAAAAATCAAATGAGCTCATGAGTAACTCCCCCACCAAGTGTATATCTTAACTTTTGCGTATTTCTTCAATATAATGAACATAATGACACCATCAGTCAAAAGATACATCCCAGGCTCTACGAGACACTGTATATTATTCTTGCCCCTAAGAGCTAACTGGACAATTAGACAGACCACAGTGCAATATAATTCACAAAAATCAGGTGTGTGTTATCTGGGTTTAGAAAGAATTTTGGTGCATTTTAGTAGATAGGTTTTGTTTTGTTTTTTTAATAACGAAAAAGTGGGAATATATTCTAGTGTTATCCTACTGATGTAATTCTGTAAGACTTCTACCAGAGAAGTGAACACACTCTCAGCAGAGTGTGCTGATTTATTCTTAGGAATAGCACTGGCCTCTGATACTGCTCAACTAACCAGAGCCAGAGCCATCTCAACCTTCCTTCTCTGCTGTGCTGGAGTACACAGAGGGATGGTAGAATAAACGACGAACGCTCTCGCGCGCTGTGTGCACCCTTGTTGTGCAGCAGGTGCCAGCCCGGGTACTCTGCCCTACCTGCACTGGCATCTTAGGGTTCTCGGTTCCAGCAGTCAGCTGCAGATTTCAGGCTCAAGCTCCTCTGGTGAACTAGCAGGAGGGTTTGGAATGGGATGAAGCTAGATTGGAACGCACTGTAAACTAAAATTAATGCATGCCCAGTCAGGCCATGTTAGTGAAGGTGACTGAGGTGTTACACTCAAAATGCCTATCATTCAAGCCAAGACTTGGGGGTGAGCATTATAATTTCTTTTCTCATAATTCCCTTACTTAAAAAAATTTATTTGACTTAAATTTCTGAAATGCATACACCCTCATACAAGCTTCCCTTTTTTCTTTCTTTCAATGCAGGAACATATATATATACATGCATGAACAGTGACTGAGGAAAATAATTTGAAATTGTTTTTTTTAATTTATTTACTAATTTTTAGATGGATTGCAATAACTCTTTCTTGGAACAAAGTAAAGAAGTGGTCTGACAAGGCTAATTGCCACCTCCTTGGCAACTGATGCCTTGTGCCTAGGACCCGACATTTTGTATTAAATTTTATAGCGAAGAGATTTGTGTTGTAATTCTGTATTGTATAGAAAAAAAGCATTTATTTGGGCAAATTTTATATTTTTACTGTATTTCAGAAGTAATATTTTTACTTCTCTATTGAGAACAGTAGGTTGTTAATTTTCTTTCAAAATAAAAGTTATCCTGAAAAAACTACTATAATGATATTGCTATAATTGAAAAAAAGAGAATTTGGACATTTGTTAGTTTTCTATCAGATGAAATACTTCATTTCTATTGCTTAAAACACCGCTTAAGCTATATTGTTGGTAACTTGATCTATCAACACAATCCTTGGCGAAGCAAGTTTTGTTCCATTTAACTTCAGGTGAGAGGAAAGAGACGCCAATGGTGGATGGCGAGTTTCAGAATCCTGCCATTAACTAGTTGGTATAAGATGCCAGTTTTCTTGGAAATGAATCTAACATTTGTCAGCTTTCAATGGAGAGAAATTATTTCTTTGAGAGGTTATTATTTTTGATGTTCAATAAGCTGAAGTAATGGCCTAGCTATTTTTCTCCTTTATCTCTGTATAGAACAGATAACGATGTGGAAGACAAAAGACAAAAAGCCATCGAAGAGGTAACTGAACAGTTACAGTCATTAAGCCAGCCAACAATGCGGTTTGCATGTGTGCCCTCCCCTTTAGGAAGACTGTTGAACCCCTCCACTCTCACAGCTCCCCTCCAGTCCTTAGCACTCTTAGTATCCCTTCAGGTCCTCTGGGTGCCCTCCCTTCTATTTACCCACATTCTGAGCTCCCTTGCTCTCAAACTCACTGGTTTGGTTCTGCCTAGACTAATATGGTTTTGTGTAGCACGAATTCTAATTGTTCTTACTAATATAAACCCAGAGTCAGATACTAGGGGATGAATGCTGAGAGATCAGAGAAGCAAAGCAGCCTGTCATTAGAGAGTTCTTACCTCTACCAGTGCTCAGACTGGAGGGGCTACTTGTGTCTACAAATCTTCAGACTGAATCTTTCTCCAAAACCTCAGACTGCATCCCGCTGTACCGATCCTCAGACCACATCTGAGCTCCTGTCTCCTCCCACCTTATATTCCTCTCTCGCCCAGCCCAGCCATATCACTCCTGTCTCCACCTTCCTAGAGCTGGGACCAAAGGTGTGGGATCCCAGCACGTGAGTGAGCTCTGTTTCTCTTTTAGACAGATTTAGTCTCACTTAGCCCAAGATGGCCTTGAACTCACAGAGATCCTGTGAGTGGCCTGTCTCCAGAGTGCTAGGATCAAAGGTGTGTGCCACCGCTGCCTGACCTACGTGGCTAACTACTAGTGGCTTCACTCTGCACTCTGATCTTCAGGCAAGCTTTTTTTGTTAGATTACAAACAAAATATCACTACAGCTTTGTCCAGTGTCGTTCCCTGTCTATCACCTCCCTCTCCGCCCAGCATTGTCTTCCTTGTGCATTCAGAATACTGACTCGCACAAACTTCTGACTCAGGTTGGAGTTCATGTAGAGGAAGCTGACTGTTGTCCTCCACATTCACAGTGACTTTGTCTTTTGCAGTTAATACTTAAGGATTTTTAAGATTTAGAATATAGTTTGTAAAATGACGTACGCTAAGTACAAAGGTAAGGTTTTTGTTCACTCTTTTCTTCTTTACTGTTCTTAGTAAGAACAGTAAAGCCAGAGAGGCTTTGTGTCGTGATGATAGTTTCTGAGCTGTCCCTTTTGTTCCTGGTCTCCACTACATGTTACTTTTCCTTAGCTGTACTTGGCTCTTCTGTACCCCAAAGGATTCGCATTACCGGTTTGTTCTGGAGCCCGGTGACAGGCCCCTCCTTGGTTTTGCTAACATAGGCATTGTCTGTCCCTTATACTTGAGATTACACACAACCTTATTTTAGAAAACGATATGATGTTCTAATCCTGACAAACCTTGTTTCCGCCTTCATCTGCAGCTCTGATTCCCACTGGTACGCTATCGCTTAATCCTTCCCCAGCTGAATCGCTCAGGTCCTTCCTCACTTTCCAACATTTTGGAAAATACCATCTCTGTTTAGACTTTTTTAAGCTGTTGCTTCAAGGAAAGCTCAGCAGGTAAAACATAGGGAATAAAATCAGAGTGAAGGTCAGGATTAGTATTTATATCCAAAATATACTTTATATACACGTGTCAAAGCCAGACCGATCAGATGTAAAGAGAACACAAAAGCCGTCATTCTCAACCAGTCTGAAAGGAGCTGCTGCAGCCTTTGCTACGTAGCTGGGACTAATCAATCGCATCCTTTAAACATGCGGATTAATTAATCGCATCCTTTAAACATGCGGATTAATTAATCGCATCCTTTAAACACGCGAGACACAGCTTCATCCTCATTTGGTGGAGCGTCTTGTTTTTACTATTTTTTGTCTTGATCTTTCTTAGATTTTTACAAATAATCACCTGTACAGATGTTTGTATGTTAGTCAGAATTCATAAACATGTCTTGTTGGTAGATCTTAAGTTCTGCTCATTGTCTGTACGACACAGCGTTGCAGTCTGTTGTGTGTTATGTCCTTCTAGTGGATGGTAAGCCAGAGCTTTGAGGATTCTCAGTCTGAGTGAACTTTGCCATATTGCCTTCCTGAGAGGCAGAACCATTGATGCCCCCTGTTTATCATGATGCTGCTTGGTTTTTTCCCCCTCTCTGCAGTACTGATTATTACCAAACTTTCAAATGTCTGTGTTCCACTTATTATTTTAAAATGCCATCAAATTTGGGTTCTAGTTAATGTTGGGTGCTACTGTTTAGCCGTGTGTGACACGTCATAAGCTTATGGGTCCTGTACAGTTCTTCTGTAACTTTTGGAAGGAAAAAGCACTGCATTAGAAGCAAAAGACATAGTCACAGACAGACAGACAGATAGAAGATGGATAGACAGATGATGGACAGATAGAGCTGGGTTTTGTTCATTTGAGTAGAACAGGATAGTGGTTAAGGTGCATCTGGAACAGCTGTCTCTCTTTGTAGACCTACTCTGGTTTCTGTGACTGCTGCTATCCATAATGTAAATACTTCAACTTCCAGCTACCGCTACGATATCTCTGAAGGGGAAAAGTGTAGTTACACACCCCAAGGAGACAAATTCCACCACATATATACACAAAGTGTAATTAACTCCAAGAACATAGATACTGACAACTGTAAAATAATTTATAAGTACTACTTTTTGAATGATTCAATATAATGTATTTATTTGTAAATTTATATAATTTTATTTTTCGTTTTGGTTTTAACAAAGCTTGTCCAAATTCCTGAAAACTGCTAATCAGATCTTGAGAGTCAGTACGGGCTAAGTCCATCCCACCGTTTACTCTGTGTGTACCTTTGTCTCCAGTGTTCCTTTCCTCCCCATCACACACTGGTTGCCGTCCCAAGACAAACTGGCAGAGAAATGAAAAGCAATTTACGTATGAATAATACTCTGAGCTTTATTTATAAGTTTTAAATTTAAATGGTTGATTTAAAGTATTAAGAGATCTCTCTATATTTCTTCACCTTTAACTTTACTTTGATCAGTTATGTTGAATGTGAACATTTTAAAATAAATGTAAGTTAGTATATGTGACATACTTGATGGTTATTTGGAAATAATGAAGGTACTCTTTCCCATTTGTGGGGCATTTACGCCTAATTGTACAATTTGAATTTTTCTAGTTTTTCACTAAAGATGTCATTGTCCCCTCTCCCTGGACTGAGCATGACGGGAAACAGCCTGTAGAGCTTCACCCCAGCAAATGTGAGTACTCAGCATGCAAAACCCAGGGTCTGTAAACAAATGTGAGTATTCTGCACGCGTTCACAAAAGCAGGGCCAGCAGGACGGCACAGCGAGGCCTCCGTGTGCTGGCGCTGGTCAGGAGCCTGCTGCAAGTTCAGTATCCACGTGGCACAATGAGCTTCTCCCGTAAGGAGCAACACTTAGTTGAAATATGCTTGGATTTTCCATTTTTTAATTTAAATTTATTCTGATCTTCAGGCAAGCTTTATTTGTTAGATTACAAATAAAATATCACTACACACCATTGTGAATACTAATTCTAAGGATGCCTGTAGAGGCTTCATAAGTGTAGATAGTTGACTTTAAATATAGAATTGAATTATGAGTGCCATTGTTATTGAACGTATATTAAATAAAATTTTTAAGCTGCTTGGGTTTTGATAACCTCTCTATTCCTTGCAAAGCTGAGGAAGAGTGATGATTAATTAACTTTGGGCAGCATAGTACAGTTGTAAATATGTCAAATTTATGTAGAAATTAAAGGGCACGCCACTATGGTTCTAACTTCCCGTTCCCACCATGAAGTGGTTGTCTTACATTTGCTCTCACTGGCCTTTGTGTTTTGAGCAGTGTTGGTGTGAGGATGGAACTTGCCCGGTTCTGCAGCCATTCAGTCTTGAAGAAAACACACAAGAGATTTATATTAATTATAATTAATTATAAACTATTTGGCCTTTAGCTCAGACTTATTATTAACTAGCTCTTACAACTTAAATTAACCCATAATTCTTGTCTATGTGTAGCCATGTGACTTGGTACCTTTTCTCATCTTGCTTTCTCTGCATCTGGCTGATGACTGACTTTCTGCTTTTCCTCTTCCCAGAATTCTCTTAGCTTGTCACCTTCCCTATACTCCCTGCCTGGCTACTGGCCAATCACTATTTTATTAAACAAATACAAGTAACAAATCTTTACCAGGTACAAGAGCATTATCCCATAGCACTTTCCCTTTTTTTCTCTTCAAAAAAGAAATACCTTGAATCTAATCTCCTTTTTTCCTGACTATTACCCATTACAACTTGTAACCAACACTCTCAATAAAGACAAACATCCATAATCCAGTTTTTGGGAACGTGGGTGTAATTTTCTAGGCTACTTGCTGCAGATTGGTGGTGCTGATAATCCTATGATAACCCAGTGAAAGTTTAGGATTATAATCAGGCCCTGACTCGACTATTCTGTAAGACTGCATTGTGTCAGGCAGAAGTCTTGAGGCTGTTCTGGATGTAAAACTCAGAGGAACCTGCAACAGAGGTGCTCTGAAATGGATCATCTGTGCTATCCATTCCCATTGGAGGGTTTTCAGGGGGTCCTCCTTGATCAAACCTTATTTTTCTTAACCCAGAATGAATCTGTAGCCTCTCATTTCATATAGAAACAAAAGGAAAATCTCTTCTCCAGCTGTTCTCCTTTAGCATTGGTCAGCTCAATAAATCTACACCAAATCTGGTGATGACTAACCTATAAAACAGAAGATTTAAAAACATGAAAACTCTTTTCAGACAGGATCTCTTTGTAGCCCCGACTTTCCTGGAACCGTCTATGTAATAGACGACCTGGTCCTTGAGGATCACAGAGATCCTCTTGCCTCTGCCTCTGAAGCTCTAGGATTAACATTGTGCACTACTATGCCCTGAAACATGTATTGTTGACTCTTGATAAAAAAAAAAAAAAACCGAGTATAGTTTTCTTCATAACATTTCATAATATTTTAATTGAATTTATTTAAACCCATTTTGAAAAAATTAAATGACAGAATTTGTTTGACATATATTAGCCTTATTTGCTCATTAAGCAATGTATATACATATCAAAACATCACTTTTTTATAACATGCAATCATTTGTCATAAAAAACTAGTAATTACATGGTAATTAATTAATAGTAATTTAATTTAATTACAATTAAATTATTGTTTGCTATGGAAGTCTTTTAGTTTTATTCTTATTCTTTTTGTAAATAATCCAACAGAAACATACCAGAATTTTAAATGCAGATATATCCTTAAAATAAGGACGTCTCTAGTGTGTAGAGTTTTGCTTTGGAAAATGTAATAAAAAATTAAATAAGTATAAAATTATGATTTCCTATTTAAAATGTTTCACAGGCCTTAATAGCAACGGTGACTCTCCTGTTGGGCAGAAGCTGACGCTTCCCTCTGAGAAGTGCAATGGTGGGTATGAACAGGGTCTGGAAAGATGTGGTGCATAGCAAACCACTTCGATTCAAGCACAGTTCATACAGTATGCGGTCCTTTTCAATTCAGACATTGTTTGCTTGGTGGATGAGCTGTATGCCAAGAGAACTGACTGTTAGAAAGTGACGTTGTAGAAAGAGCAGTTGTGTGCTGCTTTCCAGTTTGAAGTGTCTGATTTGTGAACTGATCTCTGGTTCGGGAAAGGTTGAAAGAAAACACAAAGTTCTGTTAATCTGAGGAATCCCCTAGTGTCTGCAGGTACCCTGTTCACCTCCAGTACAAGTCTCAGGGGCAGCTAGCTTCCACCATTAGTGCGTTCCGATCAGGAAGGTGGCATGGGATGTAATAGAGCGCCCCTGAAGACTGACTGCTTCTCCTGGCGCTCCGGGAGGTGGTGGTTGGGAGGCACATGCTGAACTGACATCACCTCCCTTCCCTGGTGTGTGCATGCTTAATGTCTGTTTGCTTATTCCCAGCTGCCTGCCAGACTCTGCTGTCTCTTCCTGTGGATTTTAATCTGGAAGCCATGTTGGGTAAATACTGTGTGACTTGACTCTTTAAGAACACAAATAAAGCTTTTCGTTTGGGCGGCTGTTTGCAAATGGCCGTGCAGCGGTGCCGTCCTTTAAACAGGAAGTTGTCCTACATTTTCCTGTTTCTTGAATGTGGCCCCAGTTAGTGTTTCTATCACTGTGAACTTTACTGTGGGCATGAAAGATGCCCACTGCCTTACTGGTGCAGGTCTACTGCTAATGACCCATCAAGTGTGGTGGCACACTCGTGGCAGTCAGAGACAGGATGACCACAAGTTCAAGTCCAGTCTGGGTCTATAGTGAGACCCTAACTCACACCATTAGTAACAGCATATAAACAAACACTCCAAAAATAAAGAACATTTTAAACATTACCCATACATGTATTGAATCAAAATTCAAACATGTTTTATGACTTTCTTTTTGTTTGTTTGTTTGGTTTTTTTGAGACAGAGTTTCTCTGTAGCTTTGGAGCCGGTCCTGGAACTAGCTCTTGTAGACGAGGCTGACTTCGAACTCACAGAGATCCGCCTGCCTCTTTCTCCCGAGTGCTGGGATTAAAGGCTTGTGCCACCACTGCCCGGCTGTTTCATGACTTTCTGAAAAATCGGTGTTATAAGTGTAGTTTCTTCTTACAGTGATCAGCCATCTCTTTGTTATTATTAAACGCAGGAGACTATTTTAGAGCAGATGACGCTGCGGACCAATCTCCTGGGAACCTCAGTTCCTCATCTCTCAGAAGAAAGCTCTTTTTGGATGTGAATGGGAGCATCTCTGACTCCTTACCTTCAGCTTCTCCCAGAAGTCCTCCTAGCAGTGCTCAAGAATCTCTTGAGGTGTTTTATCTGATTGGTTTGTCTCCATTTAGCCTAGAAGCCCTGTGTTGATGGCATGTACCATGAGAAGCGTGCTAGCATGGTTAGTGTGTTGTAGATAGCTTGGATGCAGACCCTCAGGTCACATCCAGGAAGACCACCCTTGGGTATTCCAGTTTGTGAGCATTTTTGCAGTTCGTAGGTATGATTTTAGTCAGTCTTCAGTTTTGTTTTTAAGGTAGACAGGGCGAGCGAATTGATCCTTGTCTCAAGGAATCACAGTCTGGCTTACTTACTGAATTGCCCAAAGATTAGCAGTGTAACTGAGTTAGCATTGATGGCATAAATAAATTAGTTTATAGATATTTTCACAGACAGCTACTTGGTATGAAATACAATGAATGATTTGTTTGAGCCCAATTCATTATACTTCGATATTTTATTTCAAGATTTTTCTAGCAGTCTTACTTATCTTTGTTCTAAGATGCCTTTCATTGGTAGGTTCTTGGGAATTTCTGGTTTATAAGTATGTGTGAAGAAGATGAAGGATGTGAAAGATAACGGTGACACAGAGAAATTACATGGATTTACTAATTATTGATGATTTTGATTTTCTAATTTGTTATTTTTTAAAATCACAGGGACAGTTTTCTTCTAGCCCCATTGAGAACAGTACAAGAAAGTACAGTTTGGGGAGCATAACTAGCCCGCCGACTATTTCTTTACCTACTTTCTCACCAATTGCACTTGAAGCAGGAAAGACGCCACTCTCAGGTACGTCTCAGAATAATATATACAGTTAAAATCGTACTATCCACATTTAGTGTTAAAAGGGCTCTTTTAGCAGTTACTAATGAATATTTTGGTATTAATTTGTAGGCACTTTTTAAAAAAAAAAAACAAAAGAAATAGTGTGAGTCAAATGTGTAGCTTATGCTATAAATCCCAATACTTGGGGCACTATGGGAATATGTAAATTTATAACTAGCTTGAGCTACCTCGTAAGACTGTGGTGGTTTGAACAAAACAGTCCCCATGGGCTCATGTATTTTAATGCTTAGTCACCTGGAAGTGGAATTCTTTGAAAGGATTAAAAGAGTTAGGAGTTGTGATCTTGATGGAGGTTTGCAAAGCCTGAGCCAGGCCCAATTCTCTCTTCCTGGGCCTGCCAATCATAAGTCAGGATGTTGTAGACCAAGGCTTCAGCACCATGCATGCCACCGTGCTGATAACACCGAGACTGTAAGAAAGCCCCAGTTGAATGTTTTCTTCTACAAGAGTGGTAGTGGTCATGGTATTTCTTCACAGCAATAAAACAAAGACCCCATCCAAAAAGATAAAAAAAAAGGTGGCCAGAGGTATGGGGAGTTTGCTGTGATGTGAGATTGTGTCTCCTAGAAATGTCAGAAGCTACATCCATGAAGTCTCACCATCATGGCTGCCTAAACATGACCTGACCCAGGACATACTAATGTGGTGAGCCCTGAAATACATGTATATATAAATGTAACAGCATACTGAGCAGATGGTACTTAGGTGTTTAGGAGCACACAGGAATGTAACACAAAGAAGAAACCATGAGTTTGAATGAAGTGGCAGAGGGGACTACATCGGAGTGTTTGTGAGAAGGAATGGGAAGGAGCAATTATATAATTAGATCTTAAAAAAATTAACAAAAAAAGAAAACAATTACATAAAATGTAATAAAATATCGGGTTCCTCACACACAGAGACCCCTATTCCTAAACTGAATCCTTATCAAATAAAACTGCCATAGTTAAAACAAAAAGGCTGGTGGTATTGTTCATAGAATACTTGTCTATGCTGGGTGATGTCTGCATTCAATTCCTCGCACTACAAAAATGGTTGAAGAGATAATTTATCCTCAACGTCTAGAATTCTCAGAAAACTTTTCTAATCTAGTTATTTTAATAAGTATTTACTGCACGCTATCAAGGAGATCACAGTTTAGAGATAAGTTGATTTTTACATACCTTCTTACTTACAGAAATAGATTTTGACAATCAGGTATTCAAACCCTATAAAATATACTTGGTTAAAATTGTTAAAATAAGTATGTTCAAAAATGTATGTATTCTTGGAAAAAAATATTTACCAATTTTTGAAAAGAATATTTTAGGAAATCATTTCGTAGTAAAACTTTGGAAAATGAAAAACTTTATTTTTGTATATAGGGATATGGGTATGTAGATAAACAAATTTGTACATTTTTATCCATGGTTATTTTTTTACAAAGCATTTATTTCTTTTGCAGATTATTCAAATTATTTAGTGTTACCTCAAAAGCATACTTCTGAACTATTTCATACATGTATCATTCTATTTGTCTTATTTTTGTTGCTTTTTATGGTCGTGGGGCTGAAGCCCCTTACTTAGGTTAATTTTCCGAAGTAAAAATTCACCCAAAGGGACAGATACTTTGAGGGGTCTTTTTCCTCTGCTAAACTGGGGATTGAATATAGGTCCCTGCCGCTGAGCTGTATTCCCTGCCCCATAGTTTTAAGGATTTTGTTGGAATTTACTTAACTTCTTCATAAAAGCTTATGTCAGTTAAATTTTTTATTGTTATCACTGTTAAACTAAGGCATTTTTATCATTTTGGATATTGTTAAGCTCCTTACTATTAAAAATACTATTTTCTAGTTTTTGTTTAGCTTTTAATATTGTTACAGTGTGTTACCGTAAGTCCAACACATTTGTCAAGAACAGTTGTTAAGTTATAGTTTCTAAAAGCCAACTTGTTAGGAGTGTTCTTTGTATATGAACAACTTTGATATAGTACAATGTAATTATGAAGAAATAATTCACAAGAAATAAAATATTTTAATTAAAATTTGGAAAGAGCCATGGAAACAAGCTTTGAGGTTGAGTCTGTTGAGGCACATACTAGCTTTCTTTTTTTTTTTTTAACACTAAAATTTCACTTTAGTATATACAAAACCGTTACTGTCTTTTTTCTTTTTTCTGATGTGAACACGATTACCACTTAAAAATGACTTTTCCTTTTCTGAGTTTTTATGATGTGATTTTTTTTCCCCCACTTCTTCAGAACAGAGGAAGTATATATTTCACTCTCCTGAATCTTCATCTGGAGCAAGATCTACCGGGATCCTCAACCCAAGCATCAGGAGCCCGTACATAGACGGCTGCTCACCAATTAAAAGCTGGTCTCCTCGGAGACTGAGAGGTGGTACTCAGTACTTATCCTCACTGATTCGGGTCCCTTTTACTCTTGAGAACAACACTGACAGCGAAGACGAGGCTCCCTCCACAGACGTCTCTCTACCAGGCCCAAATGCGACAGTATCCCTTCCGCCCTTGAACTGTGAGCCTTTGGCTTGTGGCGAGCCTTCGGTAGTCACTGCCATGTCTCTTACACAGAGCCAGTCTAGTTCTGAGAAAGATCTAGCACCGCTGGAGGGTGTTGAAAGTGAGAGGGAAAATGACACTGTGGATATGTTCGACCCTATAGACACAGGAGATGAGAGCACTTGGATAAAGGAGCCAGTGAATGATGGGAATTCAGCCATGACTGGTTTTGTGAGTGGAATTGCCTTCAATATTGAAAGCTCTCATATGTGCATGTCGCCTCTCGCGGAAAGCAGTGTTCTGCCATGTGAAAACAGCACTATCCAGGTAAGGCTTTCTGTATTTGATAGTCTTTAGCAATATCCAGGTAAGGCTTTTGTATTTGATAGTCTTTGACTCTGGGTGTTACAGGGTGAGAACGCTAATAGGCTAAATGTGAGGTGTTTATGGTTAGAACGATAGAGGCTAAATGTGAGCACTATAGCGTTGGAGATTTTAAAAGTTACCAGGAGTGTTGAGCACGATGGCACACACTGTTATGCCTAGCACTCAGGAGGGAGAGACAGTCAGATTGTGAGTTCCAGGCCTGCCAGCTTTACAAAGCCAGTTTCAGACCAATTAGGACACCGTAGTATTAAGCCTGTCTTAAAAAAAAAATTACCAAAAGCAACCAGGAGGATTAATTATTCATACTTCATATTCCTCTTAACCACTGTCTGCTGGGAATAGTAAATTATGAGCAGAAAGGAAGCCAGGCTGCTGTTTCTGCAGGTGGCTGCTCAGACATCATCTCAGGAGACAGCTGTGTCCTGGGATCTGCTGCGGGAAGAATGCAGTTTCTAGCATAGGATCCGTATGCTAAAATTTGAATGGTTTTGGTTGCCTTAATGTCCTTTAGGGGAGAAAGAAAACTTAGAGCATTTTTATGTCTAACTTTTTATATACTTGAAACAGTCGACATTTTTTTTCATATAATCCTACATTTTCTAAGAAAGCTGTGCATCACAGACTTAGTAGGTTCCCTGAAGTTTAAAAAGGAAGTAAACAGCAGAGCCAGTATGGACTCCAGCAGCTTTGCATCCCAAGTCCATGTTCTTTGAGTTGATGCCAACTCAGGAGCAGCTAACTCTGCGGGCTCAGTGTGCTGAGAGGTTCTGGACGCCTCACCTTCGTGTTTTCTGATTCACACTGGGCATGCTTATGCCGAAATAACCGAAAATGGAAATGGAACCTTTCACTCATTTTTAAACTTTTTTTAAATTGTTTTTTATTGAGCTATATATTTTTCTCCACTCCTCTCCCTCCTCGTTTCTGTTCTCTTCCATGATCCCCACACTCCCAATTTACGTAGGAGATCTTGTCTTTTTCTACTTCCCATGTAGGTTACATCCACATATGTCTCTCTTAGGGTTCTCTTTGTTCTCTAAGTTCTCTGGGATTGTGAATTGTAGACTGGTTTTTCTTTGCTTTATGTCTAAAAGCCACTTATGAGTGAGTACATATTATATTTGTCTTTCTGGGTCAGGGTTACGTCACTCAATATGGTGTTTTCTAGATCCATCCATTTGCCTGCAAATTTCAAGATGTCATTAATTCTTTCCACTGTCTGGTACTCCATTGTGTCAGTGTGCCATTATGTTCTTTATCCATTCTTTGGTTGAGGGGCATTTAGGTTGTTTCCAGGTTCTACCTATGACAAATAATACTGCTATGAACATAGTTGAGCACATGTCCTTGTAGTATGATTGAGCATCCTTTGGCCCAAAAGTGCTATTGCTGGGTTCTGAAGTAGGTTGTTGCCTAATTTTCTGAGAAATCACCATGCTGATTTCCAAAGCAGCTGTACCAGCTTGCACTCCCACCAGCAATGCAGAAGGGTTCCCTTTTCCCCACAACCTCTCCAGCATAAGTTGTCATCAGTGTTTTTGATCTTGGCCATTCTTCCAGATGTAAGATGGAATCTCAGAGTTGTTTTGATTTACATTTCTGTGATGGAAAGGGTGTTGAACATTTCCTTAAGTGTGTTTCAGCCATTTTAGATTCCTCTGTAGCAAGTTCTGTTTAGTTTTGTGCCTTATTTTTAGTTTGTTTTACACATTGTTTTTCTACCGGACAGTTGTCTTTCAAGCATTCAGACCCAACTCTGCCTTCTCCTAGCCTTTTGACGTAGTCATTGCCTTCTATCCGTGGTATACAGCTCTCATCACCGTTAGCACTGTGTCCTTTCTGTGAATTCCCGTACTCCACCTGTTTTCTGTGTTCTTTTTGAGGCTACTTCTCATTTTTCATGGTGGTTTTCTAAGGAAGAGTGTTTTCTAAAGAATTATGTGCCTGATGATGTGATGACGGCCTGAGCTAGAATTACCCGTTAGAGCTGGAAGGCATTACTTCAGTAGTTATTTTCAGTTATTGCTGGTAAGAAAGCCAAAACTTCTAATGGTGAATCTTCTGCAAACATGGCTTCTCCCCCTTCTTGCTTAGTGGGATCTTTTCCTGGTACACAGTGGTACTGAAATTTCAGATGACCGAACTGTCATGTGGGTACTGGTTCTTTGGAAGAGCGGTGTTCCTAAATGCTGAGCCAACTCTGGGATTCTCTTGACACTAATGAAGAGAGAATTACTGTTTGTATTTTTGTTTTTAACATTTCATTTTTCACTTCAAAATGCTGCTGCTGTTGCCCTCAGTACTAGCAGGGAGTGGCAAGAAGATTTGTGTCCTGTGCCGGCACATTATAGGCTCTGATCTTGGTACTGATCTAGAGGAAAACAGTGAGGTCAGTCACTATTCTCTTACCAGAAAATAGGACAGGCTCCCTGTGTACCTTGCTCTCTCCACTACTGGGTCACTTCTGCCTTGACAGAGTTATGTATTGGAACTGAGTCATAACCAGTTACTTGGCAGTAATATCAGAAAGAAGGCTCTTTGTAAGCAATCTGATATTTACAGCTTTGATCAAGTATCTATCGAATGGTAACAGAACAACAGATTTCCTTTGGGATGTGCTGTTCAATTTTATTGTACTTGTCCCAAGGGTTTTGCTTTAATTGTGACTCACAGGAACCAGCAAGTGGGTATACAGACATGAAAACTAGGAGTATTTTCCTTATGATCACCTGGGTAACAAACAGTATGACTTTATACACTATTGTAGATGTTCGTCAGGGGATCAAAGCAGCACAGACTTCCCTACTTCTAATTTGTAAGGAAAGGTGAAGAACTAGGCCAGTGCTTTGTGGGGGGGAGTGTTGGGGGGTGTAGTTTGGTGCTCAGCAATATTGCATATAAATGGCCCTCAACCACCCCTGTCCCCAGAGACAGGGTTTCTCTGTAGCTTTGGAGCCTGTCCTGGAACTAGCTCTTGTAGACCAGGCTGGTGTCATTCACAGAGATCCGCCTGCCTCTGCCTCCAAATTGCTGGGATTAAAGGTGTGCGCGACCACTGCCCTGTGTAAATGTAAAAGTGAAAAGAACTTTAACTTGAGCCTCTGATCTCAATGTATGACACTGAGTTAATCTTTCTGAACCTTAACTTCCTCACCTTATAAAGAGATGTTGAAAGGACAAAATAAAAATGGCATCACAGTGCTACATACAAAGGATCAAGCATTTTTATTCAGTAAAGGCTTTTTACAGTACGATACCCAAGGTCCATAATTGTTTAAATTTAAAATATAAAGTTTGCTTCAAAATTCATGCTATTTTGAGCACCATATCTTAAACAGACCCTCAGTGGAATGTCAAACACCCTTTGACTAATGTCCCCACACTGCCCGTACTTCTACCCATCGTCCACACAGCAGCCATTTCAGTTGTCAAGCTGACAACTAGGCTAACACGTCACTTGTATTTAAAGAGCCTTTTCAAAACTTAATATTGACTAAAAGCACTAACATAATTCTAGCGATTTTCATATGTCGAAGAGGAGCCAGAAAAATTCTTGAAAGTGCAAAGTACAATAAATATTTTAAGATCATATTCTGTAACTTTTAATAAACATATTTATAAATCAAGCATAGTGACACATGCCTGTAATCTGAGCACTCGAGTCTGAGGCAAAATTGTGATTTGAAGCCAAACTAGGTTAGATAGTGTTACATAACCAGAAATATGCTATAGTTGTTCTATTCTTGATGAACTTTTACTGTGTCTAATTTGTAAGTAAAATCTTATCACAGGTATATATAGGTAGGACAAACAGAGGATTCAGGGTTTGGTGTTACCTGCAGTTTCAGGCAGTGCCTGAAGTGCTTGGAAAGTATCCTCCATGAAAAGAGAATACCAACTTAAAAATGTGTAAATCCTTTTCACTTTTGGGGCAAGTCAGTATGTTTTAAAATGTAAACATTTTCTTCTATGTGTGCCATCATGAACAACTGGGTATGGGTATGAGCATTATGCAGGCTATCTTTATTTAATACTTCAAATGGTACTTAGAAACTGTACTAGGCAGCCATTTACAGATAAGCTAGGAAAGCTAGCTGGAAAGGGAAACTGATTGTAGTCTTTATTTTCATATTGGAAAGAAGAGCAGAAAAGCACCTGGTGACTTGACTGCTGATGCTAAAGAAATTACAGCTCCTTCCTGTGAAATATATCCTATGAAGTATTCCTGTGAAATATATCCTATGAAGTGTTGCAGTGAAATATATCCTATGAAGTACTGCAGTGAAATATATCCTATGAAGTATTCCTGTGAAATATATCCTATGAAGTGTTGCAGTGAAATATATCCTATGAAGTACTGCAGTGAAATATATCCTATGAAGTACTGCAGTGAAATATATCCTATGAAGTGTTGCAGTGAAAAGCAATTTCGTGTAGAGCTTTTAGGATCATGTATTAAATTCATTTACTGTGATCACTGTTACATTGTTCAGATGTAGTGTATTATATGCTCACTTAGCCTTTGCATTGCTTACAATATTTCATATAAATTAGAACAATGAATGAGATTGCAGTTTTATGAGTCGATGTTTTGTTTTTCATTCCTCCAAGATGGACAGTGGCTACACCACGCAGACTTGTGGAAGCAATGTCACTGATATTGCTGGGACAGAAAGCTGCTGCAAAGAAAATGTCACACAGTCCTTTGAAGTAGAAATAAAATCTCAAGTTTGTAATATAAAGGTATGGAGAAAACAGGTCGATAATAATATAGGCTGTAATATTTAATAAATAACTTTTTTCAACCTATCTTCTTCACCATTTTGTATAGTTTTACCATGCTTATGCGCTCATCTTTAAAACCAGACACTCCAAAGTTCCTTGCTCTCCAATGGGAGAGGATGAGTCAGAGGGAGAACCAGCTCTACTCCAAACAATGAGCAGTTACATCCATAAGGAAACAGGAGAGGCAGAGACTTTTGCCTCTAAAATTGATTTTTGTCTTTGAAATATTTTAAACACCTCAAACATAAACTTGAAAATAATTACTACTAGAGAGGAAAATAGTACAACTATTAAGAATTAAGAATATTTAAGTTAAAAGCACTTAAAGACTGTGTATGTGTAGTCATACAAAATAATGGTCTCAGTATTATCACTGTTGGATATTATGCATTTGGAAAGTATTAATCCTCTCTTATTCTTTCCTGAAGGATTTCTAAAAATTCAATAGCCATTAAAGATTTTCATTGTTCTAAGGAAAATAAATGTAGATATTTTAGGTATGTCAAATATTTGTACTAATATAGTATATTTCTGATGTAAACATTTCATGAACCTGATATAATGGTTACAACTACACATTCACATTTGAAATCCATCATCTTAGGAACGAGACAGGACAATCTTACTATTTATACTAGTAACTATGCGACAAAACCTCTCTGCAAGTTCAGTAAGAAATGCACCTTATTTTCCTTTGGTATATGTAATATCAAAACAAGTCTCTTCTAAGATTAGTAACTTCAATGAAGTTGCTCCTGATAATCCAGCTCATTTCAGTTATCCCTCAAAATCTAAGCTAAAGCTTAGACTAGCATTGATTAGCATGCCCAACATCCTGGGTTCAAAAAGAGGAAGAGGGCAGGGGAGGGAGGGAGGGAGGGAGGGAGGGAGGGAGGGAGGGAGGGAGGGAGGAACTCTATCTCACTAGCCCTCTCAAGCCAGGAAACCTGCACCCCCATTCCAACACAGTTGGTAGTAGCTGTCCTTTTGAATGGCCCTGAACTGAAAAGCAGGTGTTTTCTTCTTTTCCACAGCAGGAGCACGCAGTGCAGAGGTGCTGGCTGAGAGCTGCAGGCCCATCACAGTGCGGCAGCCCATAGTCTCCAGACTACAGACCACACTCAGTAGTAGCCCCCGTGTTTTTACGTACATGTGATATCACGTGGCGGTGACTGGGGTAACTGCTTCACTTCATGCCCAGCTCCCTCCGTTATGTGAAAAAACAGTCCACAAAGGAGCTTAGTGGCAGGAACAGAAGCTCCAAGTTTTAAATTGCAAGCTATTTTTTTTAACCAATAAATATTTTTGTATTTGTTTTGAGTGGTTTGTTTAACAAAAAAAGTATGACAGCTGATGGCTTTCTCTTGTCCTAAAGGATCAAGGAGCTACTTGTTAAAACTTGTAATGATAATCCTGAATTGCCAATTCTTAGAACATGATAAAAATGTTAAAACTGAAAGCACTATACATTTTTACATGAAAACTGTGAAAGAAATCTTGAGATATAAAACTCACTAAAGACGTAGAAAGGAAATAAAGTGGACTCTGTAAAGTCCATTTCTGTGAGGAAATGGCTTGGTTTCCGGCATTAGCACTCTAGCTAGCACTACTGCAAACGCTGGAAAGGCGCTGCCATCCGCAGGGTGAGCGCGGGGAGCCACAGTAGTGTGTATCATCATTCCCTCAGTCTTGGCTAGGGAGATAAACAGAACTGAACACAGGAGAATCAGAATTCCCCTTGGACTTAGGACCATGAAGAAACAATTGGGAAAATTGCTAAATAATTTTTTTTTCAAAAAAAAATCTGTATTAGAAGATGGATATAATGTATGGAAATATCAAAGACTGTATTTTTGTGTTTACTTATTTTGTAAAAACTGGCATACTCAAAATGACTCATTAGTCCTAGAAAATAAAGATGCACTATTGTTTTGTCATTTTCATTCTTGTTCTATATGGTATGTTTATTGCTTACACAGTGCTCATGTCACGTGCTCCAACACTAACCAATGTTGTAGCCGATTGAATATGTTTATCTAAAGACAGCTATTATCCATGACTTCTAAGATGAACAACCTCCCTGGCTACCTTTCAGTTTTTTAAAGTAATAATCATTTAAGTTAAATAACTTGTCTCGCTACTTGTTCTGGCCTTTATCTGTGAAATGGGAGTAGCAGTCCTCCAGTGGCTCCTTCAGTTTGTCTTGAGACCATCTCACAGTGTAGCCTAGGCTGGCACTGAACTTTGGTCTTCTTACTTCAGTCACTAGAATGTGTGTTCAGTTTGATCTGCAACCACTCATCCTCAGTATCCCAGGGGAACTAGTTCTTAGGACCTTCCATGGATTTAAGTTAACAAACCAAGGGATGCTGATTATAGTGTCCTTCATTAAATGACACCGCCTTTGAATGTAAGGCATGCACATCTTTTCATATACTTCAAATCCTCTCAAATTATTTATATGTACTACAGTGTGAAAACAATGAAAATAGTTATGGTATCTGGGGGACTGACTAATAAGAAAATGTCTAAACATTTAGCGCAGATGCATTTTCCCCCAAGTACTTTCGTCCTTTCAATCTGGAGACGCAAAGCCTGGGCACCGGGAGGATGACCGTGTTCTGTGCAATCCGCTTAGCTTCGTAACTGGCACTAGGGAAAAACATTTTAAAACCTCAAAGAAGGCCCTCGGGAATATAGGTTTTTGATCATTAATTTGCTCAATTGAAATTAAAGCCTGTACTGTACTTATTAAAGCCGCTCTAGATGATTAGAACAGTAATAGACATGGGGGCTCTACATAGGTAAAGTGCTTGCCGCACAAGCATGAAAACCTAACCTTGAGAGCTTGGCAGATGTGACTGTGAACCCACTGGTTGATTCTAGCCAATGTAGCTCAAAGTGGCAATCTCTAAAGTTCAGTGAAAGACCGTTTCAAAAAATTAATGTGGAGAAACAACTGAGGAAGAAATTCAATGTACAACTCTAAAATCAGTTAACAGAGATAACTTACTGGCTTTTTATTACCAAAATGACCCCACACTGCAGGTAAACTATGGTAAATAGCTTTTAACATCTTTAACTTTGTTCTTGCCTGTATTTACATATGTTTGTGTCCTACTTGAGTGCTGGAGGACAGCAGTATTAGATCCCCTGGAACTGGAGTATAGATGGCTAAGAGCCATCATGTGGGCACTGAGAATCAAGCCCTGTCCTCTGGCAAAGCAGCCCTGCTTGCTCTTATCTGCCGAGCCATCTTTCCAGTACTTGGCGAACAGTTCTTGTCTTGTGCCTTGTATGTATTAGGCAATCATACCACTCAACTACATGCTCAACTCAATAGCAGAAAAATGTGAGTGACTGGCGGGTAAAGCTCAAGAGCAGTATCTGTTATACTCCTTGGAAAATTGACTTTTTATTTCAGGAACACAACCATGCCTGTTTACATACTGTTTGGCTGCTTATAAACCACAAGTACCATAGTGACAGTTCAGTTAACAGTCTGAAGTGCTGTGGGCTTTTACAAATGCTGCTTAAGGCTGTCTTCCTTCAGTTAAATCAAGTTCTGCCTTAACATATGGATATTTTCTGCTGTAATAGGAAATTGGAAAACTCAACAACACTGAATGTGTGTTTGTATACGGGATACAGCTGTACCTACATTATAGCCTGGGGACTTTTCAGCTGGTTACTAGACTAGAAACTGACTAAGCAAAGTGAAATATTAAAATTCTCCTAATGTAATCATTAATCTGGGGTTTGTAAGGCACGAGGTAGTCAAACTGGTACAAAAAATGAGACTTCATTTGTTCCTTTTAGTATGTCTAATACAGTCCCTCCTCTCTTATATAATTGGATATAATTAAAATTCAAAAGCCATTATCTGTTTTTGTAAGAAAGCAGACATTTCTACTTTGACTCTTTCTCTGAAGTGTAATCCTTGTTTGAGAGAAACACTGGCAACACAGACTGAGGAACTTACCACCTGTTAACAACATCACAGTGTTCCCAATCCAAGAGATGAGTTTGTTTTCTTATAATCCCAAAACATTCACAGTTCTGAGAACTTTTCAAAATGTGTGAATACAGTGTTGTAAGTAGGCAAATTAAAATGGCAAAAAGATCAAATGCCAAACACGGACAGCTCAAGATTTAGAAAGGCTTGTTCTTTGCTTCTAAAATGTTAATTTTCCTCAGAAATTGCAGTTTTTCTATATTAAAGTACTTATATAAAAATTAATCTGCTCGTCAGTGAGCAGATGAGTACTCCATTTAAATGACCATCACAGATCCCTGAAGTTGCTATTCTGTCACCATTTAAGTGATGGATATTTAAATGAATTTTTCTGCATAATTTTTGTTGTTGCAGAAGCACAGTCTAAGATAGATTTAGTCAGTAACGCAATAAAAATGCAAATTTCTTAAAATTATTGAAATGTACTTGAAAGTAACTATCACGCACACCAGTTTGTAAGTATGCTTTCAATTTTGTTGTTGTGTACGGTAATCGTCAGTCTCTGAAGGTCTCTGTTGCATGTAGCTACTTCTCAAGTTTCCGCTTCTTCCCTCCTGGCCCACTGAGATCCATGTCTGAAACATCAGGAGGAATATTTATTCCTGGTATCTAAAAGTGTAAACGGGAAAAATGAAGTGATTAGAAGCATCAAATAAGAAATCTGTATCTCACCTTCCCCTTTACCACTATCACTTTCAACTTCAAATCGACTTTTCAGTGGAGGGGATGGAGTTAGAAGGCTGTACCACACACAATTATGCACAGGAAGTAATCATGGTTCAGAAGTAAGCCAGAACGGAGGTGCACACCTGCAGTCTCAGCACTTGGGAAGATCCCTGCAAATTCAAGGCTAGCCTTGTCTACAAAGCAAGAAAACTGAGAAGCTTCAACTTGCCCTGTGTGTTTGTAATGTAACAATTCTTTCTTGTGTCCAATTTACCCTATTGGATTTATGTTGCAGTAAACAGCAAGCACCAAAAGCTAAAAGGTTAAAAATCCAGGATTTTAAATGGAGCACCTGCAGTTAACTTGTATATTATAAACTAGAGTAAAGGAATAAATAGGCAAGAGAACGGAATGGTCTTAAGGACCACTAGAATCTCCGATGCCTGGAATTCAGTGCCAATATCTGGAATACCTATGATCTTAACAATCTAGATGTTAACTTTTCCACACCATTAAATTAAGTTTGGTCTCACCTGTGGTTCCACAAGGGCCATGCGGATTTTCTGATGTTGAAGATTTGATGAATCTAATGTGATTTTAACTTTAACTTTGTCAAAGACATGGAACACTGTACCTTCTATTCTGAGTGAAGGTATCTTGAAAAAAAAAACATTTTATCAACATTGTTTCTTAAATATGAATCTCAATCCTACTTCCAGTTTACCTTCCATAGTAATTTAAAAGTTTAAAATTAAGGAGGACATGAAGTTGGGAGGGAGATGTGATGGGTTCTGGGGGAAGCTGGAGGGGAGAAGTGGGGGATATGATCAAGATATATTTCATTATATATAACATTTTCAAGGAATAAAAAAATCCACAATATTAGTAAGCTTCTAGGTATTGAATATAAAAAAACAAAAAACCCCACATTAAACCTATAGCCTCAAATATAGTCTATTTTTGTGCACACTTCATCTTGTCACTAAGGTAATCCTAAATGACATCATTCATCTTAGTGAATCAGTTGTTTGTAGTAAAGTATCATTAAATATTCTCTGTGTTTAGTGGATGAAATGTGGATTTTCTGTCATGCATTTTGAGATTTAGGATATAAATTTACTGTGGACTAATCCTTCTGTACACTGTAAATTATGTTGTGATTGGTTTAATAAAACTGATTGGCTAGTAGCTAGACAGGCTAAGGTTAAGCGAGAAAACCAGACTAAGGCACTGGGAAAAAGAGGGGCAGAGCTGGAGGACTGAGTCACCAGCCAGAACAAAGAAAATAGGATGTGTAGAAAATCAAGTAACAAGTCATGAGCCACAGGGTAAAACTTAGATAAGAAATACGGGTTGATTTAAGTTGTAAGAGCTAGTTAATAAGAAGCATTAATAAGTATCTGAGTGGTTATTTGGGGGTGGCTGCAGAGACACAGAAAAACTCCACCTACCTAAATACACGAAAGTTTTAACAATTTATAGTTATGATTTTCTAACTGTCAGAGAAAATATACCTCTCCTCCCCAAGAAAACAAGAATCAGCAATACCATACCTCATCATCATAAGTAAGCCGTGGCTTTGGTTTATCTTTTTCTTCAAAAAAAACTGTACCTTCTAAGCCGTACTTTGGAATCAGCACCACAATTGCATTCTTTCTTACAAAGAGAATATAGGCTTCTTCGCTTACTATTCCTTTGCTTTTGAAAAACAACTGTAAAATACATACAATCTTGTTAGAAATCTTACTTTGAGATTTACAAAAATAATTTTGAAAACACCAAATAAGCAAAATTTCCCACTACAAACAAAAGGCAAATACCTGGGTATGAAAAGCTACTGATGCACGCTGAGCATACTGAGCCATTTTATGCCGGAAATTGAGATTTTTACATATATCTGAAAGCTTGTGTTTATCTGTCAACTCCGGATAAGTACAATCAGCCCCAATAGCCACAGCCAACAGCCGATGAACAATTATGTCTGCATATCTACATATAAAAGGTGAAATAAGAACAATGACAAATTAATTTTAAAATTTCTATATTAAAAGTTAACCATTTTCACGGGTTGGTGGTGGCAGCACATGCCTTTAATCCCAGCACTTGGAAGGCAGAAACAGGCAGATCTCTCTGAGCTCAAGGCCAGCCTGGTCTACAAAGTGAGTTCCAGGACAGTCAGAGCTAAACAGTGAAACCCTGTCTTGAAAAACTGAAGAAGAAGAAAAAAAAAGTTAAACCATTTTCTCCCTCCTTTAGTTTTGT